ATAGTTCAATGGAAGAACGAAGAAGGAATAAGGAATCAGGAAGCTTTGAACTTGATTGCATCAATTTACGCAACTAACGAAGCTTGTGATCCTATAAATTTGAACTTGCGAGTTGAGATAAAAATTATAAAAAGGAAGAAGGAAGAAAGAAGCTTGGATGAGTAAACATGTTGTGCAATTCAGTAGAATTGGAGTCGCTTATTACATTCAGATAGCAACAACTGCGGTGAATTACAAACCCATTAAAGCGTGGACTCAGCACATTGCTTCGAACAAGTGCATTTATCACCCGAGCAAAATCCGCCATCCCACTTCTCAAAAGAAATGCAAAGTTCAGCACATGTTTCTTCAATGCACGGTCCTATAAACGCATCGCTGTGTTTATAGCATGTCCGCCCCTCCGTCTGAGCCACCATCCATCCTGCAACAGTAACACAAACTTATTCATACAAACAAAAACCTTCTTTTGAATACTATCTGTTAATCTAAATCGATATGGAGAAGCAGGAAGGATCAAGTACCAGAAGTAAGGGCTAGGAAGATGAACACCACAATTTTGAGATTTCTCAAGCTTTGTCCCGCCATTCTTTTCTTATCTTATTCCTTGCTACAATGGAATGCTTGGGTATCAGTTCCCCATTTTATATCCGTGAAACGCCTCATCTTTGTAACGTCTTCTTTATTTCCTTGCGATTTCAAGGAAAGAATAATCACGTTTTGTAACGTCTATGCTGGCCGTTCTTGATTTAAAAGGAAGTTGTTTTATTTTATTCTTGTCTAGTCATGCGGTTAACATTGATTGATGGACGTAAATTATACTATTATTAAAAGTAACCTATTTCTTAAATACAAATTTAAAGCATGAGCCCAACCTTATTTGTATTAATTATCTTTCATAATCTGTATAAAAGGTAGGAATTTAGGTGTACTATTGCTATACCTCTTTTCCTATGCGAGAAATTTAAGATGATAAGCGCAACGATTAGCATGTAGTATAGCCCGGTTTATAAAATCTTCAACTGGAAAGCTTAAGTTTTATAGCGTTTAATTATGGTTTTTGTGATGGTTAAAGATTACTGTTTAATTCGTGGGTGTGAAATTCAGTATGTTGATATCTTCGGTGCATTGAAATCATAAAGATTGCAGATATCAAAAATAAATTTGATGATTTGGATTTAGAACATGGCCTGTTTCCTTGTCGTATTAATTTATAATAACCTTCTTTCCACATTTTTATTTTTTAATATTTTAGTCTCAATTATACAAATATCTAAATATTTTAATTAGTTTTTTTTATTATGTCAATTATTTTTTAACTGTATTCAAAAAAATTTGACGACATGAAAAATCTAACATTTGTATGTTTGGATTGGATTATAAAATTATTGGAATTGGGTTGAGTTAAAATAAATCATAAATTGAATTGATTTATGAATATTAGTCGAACTAAACCAAGCTAAATTTAGTTTTAGTTTTAAAATATTCATTTTTGCTTAAAATATAAAAATATACGAGTGACGGTTACTAGTTCTAGCGGGTGTCCGACCTAAGGGGCTCCTAGAGTATGCCCACCGGATAAGGAAGGTGGCCCAGCGGTGAGCGAACTAGCTGGTGAGCCCATACTCGCACGTATTGACTGTGTGTAGAGTATATGGTACACGTTCAAAATTACCCGTTAGGACAGCACCGAAGGAAAAGCGAAACGAAACGAAAGATAGGTCCTGTCATTTCATTGCATGTGATTGTTGCATTTAACCCCAATAGTGGGGTCACTTGCTGAGTATTTCTTTAAATACTCAAGCCATGTGCTACAACATTTGTAACGGAACCGGAAAAAAAAATGATGGTCGTCGGCAGAGCTGAAAACTCCGGCGAACGTCGGAGTTTTCGCTCACACACGACCCACAAAGGGCAGCCGAGGGCTGGGATGCCTCAAAATCGCGTCCCCGACCTTCAGCCACCGTGAAAGAACTTGCAAAGAAACGAAAACGGTAAGGAAAAAGGAGAGAGAACAGAAAACCGATGGAACTTCGGCGAAGCCGAATCGTACGAATCGACGTCGAAAACCCCCATTTGACACCACAAAAGTAATCCCAGAACCCTTTACACACATCAGGAGTAGGTTTTACGCGAATCCCGTACGCTGAACACCGTCGGCAAGGAAGACGGAACGGCGGACTTCCGAGCTTCTCCAGATCCGAGAGTGCGAGGCCCTTACCAACGAAATCGATACCAAAAAATGGGGTTAGGGTGAAGGATAAGCTCGGGAACGGGGAAAAAAAGAGGGAAAAAGGACGTCGGGACGACGTTGTCGAAGAGAGAGAGGGACCGCCGGAAAATTGTGCAGACAGTTGGGCGAAGAGGACGAAGTTCGACCCGCGATCTGGATCTGGAAACCCGAACCAAACCCCGTACCTTCGGTCAGCCCAGAACCCACGTTACCCGCAACCCAAACACCCGACCTTCAATCGTGAGCCGGCCCATCAACCCGCGGCCCGTCACCCGCGAGCTGGCCCATCACCGCGCGGCCCGTCACCTGCGTTCGGTCCGAGACCCGCGAGCGGCCCGTTAACCCGCGCCTCGACCCGAAACGCCTGCACACATGTCGCTCTCGGATTGTGCCACGTGTCACGTCTGCAGCGCGGCTACTCTCGGCTCAGGCGGCTTCATCGGCTCGGTGGTGGCTCGACGGCTCCGGCGGCTTATTGGGCTCGGGAAACCTATTTCCAGCCGGTTTGACACCGTTCCGACCCTCCCGGACCTAGTTTCGGCCCTGTTTAAGGTAAAAGGGAACATTTTAAGGTCGTATTTCACAAATTCCAGTTGGGAATTTATTCTTATTTGTGAAATACTAACGAAAGTGACTCATGAACCAATAGGAACCAACCACCAACGGAAGCGTAGAACGTCCACGAGGAGCTAGGAGCTTACGTTATATTCTAGGGAGTACTTCGGCTAGGGTCTACCAAGTAAGTGGCTCAGCCGTTGTAGGTTACGCGTTAATTGCTGTATGTTGGCACGTGTCCGTGGTTATGCACGTGCCATTAAATTGTATGCTAGCTTAATGTGCTTAAGTACGAAATCATGTGAACGTGAATGTATGTTGTTTATGCTGCTTAGTTGATGTGATATGAATGCATGTGACGATGTGTGACCCTTGTATGATTATGGCTTGTTGTATGAGTATTGAAATGTAACTGAATGAATTGTATGACATGAAATACGTTGAATTGCATGATACATAACCCCGCTAGGAATATATATGATATGTAACAAAATGAGAATGAGAATGACATGTAAGCATGAAAACGTGACACGGGGTTATGTTCATTAAATGATGACTGTAGGACTAGTGGGACCTCATGCATATTGTCTGATCATGCATTTGGGGGGATACCCCTATCCCATCACGAGGGTACGGACGCGTACATCCAAATGGCAGGACCACGATCGTTATGTCCTGCATAGCGCTGCCGTGACGGTTTTAGTTTTAACGGGTCCCGGTGGGCCCCTAGAGCATGCCCATCGGCTAGGGACAGTGGCCCAGCGGTGTGCGAACTAGCTGGTGAGCCCATACTCGCACATATGGGCTGCGTGTAGAGTATATGGTACATGTCCACGATTACCTGTTAGGATTACAATACTCGCACATATGGGCTGCGTGTAGAGTATATGGTACATGTCCACGATTACCTGTTAGGATTACACCGTAGGGAAAACGAAACGGCGTGTAGAGTATATGGTACATGTCCACGATTACCTGTTAGGATTACACCGTAGGGAAAACGAAACGTAACGATAGGTCCCATCATTTCATTGCATGTGTTTGTCGCATAACCCCGATAGGGGGTCACTTACTGAGTATTCTAGAAATACTCAAGCCTCGTGCTACTTTACTTTTGTAGATAAGGGCAAGGCACCCATGTGACAACGACGACGGCATCGTATCCCCCAGGATCGTGGCACATGCATAGGGTAGTTGGTTGTTCTTTTCCCATTTCGTAGTCTAGGTCGAATTTGGTTGCATCATTAATATAGGTTAGTATAGGATGAAATGTATTTGCATAATAAACCTTAGGGTAGAATAAAATATGCAGTTTTGGTTTCTGTTTCTTTTCCTTTCTTTCAATTTTCTCTTTTTCCCTTGTAACCATATTTCTCTAAGGTAATAAAAGGCGAGTGCGAGTCGCGTTAATGAACAGGGCCGATTAAATGTATATCCGCATTTCAAAGTATAGTAATGACCTTAGATTAGACAGGTAAAATGTTAGGGTCGTTACAGTTGGTATCAGAGCTTTAGGTTATAGATCTTGTAGACTAGCCTACAGAGTAGGCTTGGCATGTTCCACGGTCTAATTACCGATGCTCCGTCGTTGCCAGGTACACCTTATGTAGAATGAGGAATATATGACATGTGTGATATATTTAATGTGGTTGGGTTTAAATGATGCATGATATGTTACTGTATGAAAAAAAAATGTTGATGTTATCTGATGTGGATGTGATTTGATGTAATGCATGTCTTTATGGTATGATATTTATGTTTTTCTTTTATATATATGTATACATATGAATTATATGGTAGGATGTAGGGAATGTTGTAAATCATAAACTTAGCTAGAATCCTTTTCTTGGTTTCTAGAACCATGCCGCACAGAGGACGTAGAAGAGATAGGAGAGGAAGAGGACGACCTCTCGTTAGGAGAGGAGGAAGAGGAGACGCCGATAGAAGCTCTTCCTAAGAGGGGTCGACTACCGGCCCATATGCGTTTGTACCACCTCCTGAATACGCACCTTCCCCCCAAACCGTACCACCCCCTGAATATGCACCTCCCCCACAAGCAGTACCCCCTCCTGAATACGCACCACCCCCTCAAGCTGCACCACAGGCCGGGTTAGACCCCGCCACAAGGTTAATGTTTGAATCCCTCCAAAAAACAATGCAAACTATGCTAGACACACAACAGGCCACGTTGTTGGCTACACAACAAGTCGCGGCAATGGCCACACAACCAGCCAATGCGATGGCCACGCAACCAGCCAACTATGTGGCCACGCAACCAGCCAACGCGGTGGCCCCGCAACCGGTGGATGCGGTAGCTATCCCACCGGTGAACAACCCGCACCCGGATAGGGGCGCGAATTGGTTAAAGGATTTCAGGCGGTATAACCCCCGTCCTTTTGTCGGTTCAAAGGAAGATCCCACAGCGGCTCAGATGTGGATCGCAAACATGGAAACGACCTTTGAATCAATGAGATGCCCTGATGAACATAAGGTGACATGTGCCACATATGTGTTACAAAAGGATGCAGAAGTGTGGTGGTCGGATAATAAACAGAGCATCAACCCGGGTGGGGGAATTACAACATGGGAGACCTTTAAGGAAGCCTTTCTAAAATACTATTATCCAAAGGAAATTCGTATAAAGAAACAGCAAGAGTTTAACCTCTTAACCCAAGGTGATCGCACGGTGGATCAGTATGATCAGGACTTCATGAGATTAAGAAGATTTGCACCGTCTTTAGCCGACACTGAAGAGAAACAGACAGAAAAATTTGTGTTAGGATTGAATCCGAAAACCCGCCGCATGTTAGAGGCCTTTAACCCAAAGACCTATGAAGAGGCCCTAAGGACGGCCAAGGCCCTAGAGGAACCCCCAGAGGAAAAGAAAACAGAGCCAACAGTCGCCATAGGGAGGAAACGCCCTGTCGAGGTCGATACCATAGAATTCCAACCACCGTCCCAAAGGCCTCGATATCAGAGTAGGCCACCTGCTCCACCTCCAATAGGCCGATACCTAGCAATGGAGAAGCCCCTGTGCCGTAACTGTGGAAAGCAACATGTTGGGAGATGTTTGGCGGGCTCAGGTATGTGTTATATCTGTGGTCATGCAGGTCATGTGGCCAGAACTTGCCCTACAAAGAGCCCGGGAATTCCAAGGGAACCCCTTAGAGGACCGGTCATCCGAGAGCCCACCTTACAAACCAGTCCACAGACCAAGGCATATGTAACGACCAGTAATGAGGCGGGAACATCTGGCACCGTGGTGACAGGTACGCTTTCTATACTAGGACACTTTGCGTTGACATTGTTTGATTCTGGTTCTACCCATTCCTTTGTTGCTTCACCATTTATTAAACAAGCAGGGTTCGTAATAGAACCCTTAATGCATGCGTTGTCGGTCGGTACCCCGGCAGGGGTAGACCTAGTTACGAAAGATAGAGTAAGGGACGGACAAGTGGTAATAGCTGGACAAACCATCCACGTAGACTTAAAGGTAGTGGATATGACGGATTTTGACGTCATACTAGGAATGGACTGGTTAGCAGAAAACTTTGCTACCATAGACTGCCATAAGAAGGAGGTGATATTCACACCTCCTAACGGACTTACCTTTAAGTTTAAAGGAACCTCCACAGGTACCACCCCAAAAATAATATCGATGATGAAAGCGAGGCGCCTGATACAACAAGGGGGGTGGGCGTTTCTAGCCTATGCAGTAAATACAAAAGGAAAGGAAAAACCCATAGATACAATACCAGTAGTAAATGAATTTATGGATGTCTTTCCGGAGGACCTCCCGGGAATTCCTCCATCGCGAGAGGTAGACTTTGGAATAGATCTAGAACTAGGAACGGGACCCATCTCTAAGGCCCCGTACCGCATGGCACCAGCAGAACTAAAAGAGCTTAAAACACAACTGCAAGACCTACTAGATAAGGGCTTCATTCGACCTAGCGTGTCCCCTTGGGGTGCGCCAGTGTTGTTTGTTAAAAAGAAAGACGACTCAATGCGTTTATGCATTGGTTATAGGGAATTAAACAAGAGGACGGTAAAGAACAAATACCCATTACCCCGTATTGAGGACCTATTTGATCAACTACGTGGGGCGACAGTGTTTTCTAAAATAGATCTTCGATCAGGATACCATCAAATTAAGATTAAAAATGAAGACATACCGAAAACAGCCTTTCGAACCAGATATGGCCACTACGAGTTTGTGGTGATGTCTTTTGGTCTCACCAATGCCCCAGCGGTATTTATGGAACTAATGAACCGAGTATTTAAGGAGTGCCTAGACTTGTTTGTGATCGTGTTCATAGACGATATCCTGATATACTCGAAAACGGACCTAAAACACCAAGAACACCTTCGTAAAGCCTTAACTATCCTAAGAGAGAACAAGCTGTATGCCAATTTCACCAAGTGTGAATTTTGGATATGACAGGTTTCGTTTCTGGGGCACATAGTGTCTAAAGACGGAATCTTCGTAGATCCCAATAAGATAGAGGCGGTCACGAAACGGAAACGCCCAACAACGGTCACCGAGATACGAAGTTTCTTGGGATTGGTGGGTTATTATCGAAGGTTTGTCTAGGACTTCGCTAGAATAGCCACGCCTCTCACCCAATTAACCAAAAAAGGTGTACCTTTTGTTTGGGACGATACTTGTGAGGTCAGCTTTCAAGAACTAAAACAACGACTAGTATCCGCCCCAGTGCTCACTGTTCCAGAAAGTTCTGTGGGATACGCGATTTATAGTGACGCATCCAAAAAGGGATTAGGTTGTGTACTGATGCAACATGGCAAGGTTGTTGCGTATGCGTCACACCAACTAAAAGATTACGAGAAAAACTATCCTACACATGATTTAGAGCTGGCAGCAGTAGTGTTCGCGTTAAAAATTTGGCGACACTACCCGTATGGCGAAAAGACCCAGATCTACACGGACCACAAAAGCCTAAAATATTTGTTCACCCAAAAAGAATTGAACATGCGGCAACGTAGATGGTTAGAGCTGGTAAAAGATTATGACATAGACATCCAGTACCACCCTGGAAAAGCAAACGTAGTCGCTGATGCACTGAGTCGAAAAGTAGTACACTCGTCGGCCCTCATCACCAGAGAGCCACGAGGGCGAACTGATTTCGAACAGGCTGATATCGTGGTGGTAACCAAAGAAGTTGCCGCCCAATTAGCCCGAATGACAGTGCGCCCCACGCTCAGACAAAGAATCATAGACTCACAACGTGAGGATCCAAGCCTAAGTAAAATCCTAGACCAATTGGAAGTTGGCCCAGTGGACGGATTCACTAAATCAACAGATGACGGATTATTATGCCAAGGGCGTTTATGTGTCCCACCCCTGAGCGGAATAAAGAATGAAATCCTAACGGAGGCACACAACTCAGCCTTCTCGATACATCCAGGTGGAACAAAGATGTATCAAGACTTGAAAAAACACTTCTGGTGGCGAAGTATGAAGAAGGATATCGCGGAGTACGTGAGTAAGTGTCTAGTGTGCCAACAAGTAAAAGCCCCTAGGCAAAAAACCGCCGGGCTACTACAACCTCTAAGTATACCAGAATGGAAATGGGAAAACATTGCCATGGATTTCATAGTAGGCTTACCCAAAACATTAAAGGGCTATACGGTAATCTGGGTGGTCGTGGATCGCCTGACAAAGTCGGCTCACTTCCTACTGGGTAAGGCAACATATACAGTAGACAATTGGGCACAACTGTATGTTAAAGAAATTGTGAGGTTGCATGGAGTACCAGTGTCAATTGTGTCGGATCGGGACCCACGTTTTATGTCGGCCTTTTGGCGCTGTCTCCAAAGAGCGATGGGTACCCGCCTCGACTTTAGCACCGCCTTCCACCCACAAACAGATGGCCAAACAGAACGATTAAAACCAAATTCTGGAAGACATGCTTCGGGCATGCGTTATGGATTTCACAGGGAGTTGGGACACCAAACTACACTTAATGGAATTCTCTTACAATAACAGCTTCCAAGCAACCATCGGAATGGCACCCTTTGAGGCGTTGTATGGAAAACGATGTAGATCCCCATTGTGTTGGGACGAAGTAGGAGAACGAGAATTGATAGGACCCGAGCTGGTCCATGTCACCAACGAAGCAATCCAGAAAATCCGAGTAAGAATGCGTACCACGCAGAGTAGGCAAAAGAGCTACGCCGACGTTAGGCGTAGGAATTTAGAGTTTGAAGAGGGGGACCCAGTGTTCCTAAAATTAGCCCCCATGAAAGGTATTCTAAGATTCGAACGCAAGGGGAAGCTCAGCCCCCGATTCATTGGACCGTTCGAAATTTTAGAAAGAGTAGGTCCGGTAGCTTACAAACTAGCTTTACCACCTTCACTTTCAAGCGTACATGATGTATTTCATGTGTCCATGTTAAGGAAATATATTCCAGACCCGACGCACGTAATAGACTACAAACCTCTTGAAATTGAGGAAAATTTAAGTTACCAGGAGAAATCGATTAAAATTCAAGCCCGAGAGGTGAAAGCCTTACGTAATAGGAGTATAGGTTTCGTTAAGGTATTGTGGCGTAACCACCAAGTCGAGGAAGCTACGTGGGAATGAGAGGAGGAAATAAAGGAAAAATATACCGAGTTGATCCACGAGTTCGAGGCTTTCGAGGACGAAAGTCCCTTTTAGGGATAGGTAATGTATCGGAACTGAAAAAAAAAATGATGGTCGTCGGCAGAGCCGAAAACTCCGGCGAACGCCGGAGTTTTCGCTCACACACGACCCACAAAGGGCGGCCGAGGGCTGGGATGCCTCAAAATCGCGTCCCCGACCATCAGCCACTCTGAAAGAACTTGCAAAGAAACGAAAACGGTAAGGAAAAAGGAGAGAGAACAGAAAACCGACGGAACTTCGGCGAAGCCGAATCGTACGAATCGACGTCGAAAACCCCCATTTCACACCACAAAAGTAATCCCAGAACCCTTTACACACATCAGGAGTAGGTTTTACGCGAATCCCGTACGCTGAACACCGTCGGCAAGGAAGACGGAACGGCGAACTTCCGAGCTTCTCCAGATCCGGGAGTGCGAAGCCCTTACCAACGAAATCGGTACCAAAAAATGGGGTTAGGGTGAAGGATAAGCTCGGGAATGGGGAAAAAAAGAGGGAAAAAGGACGTCGGGACGACGTTGTCGAAGAGAGAGAGGGACCGCCGAAAAATCGCGCAGGCAGTCGGGCGAAGAGGACGAAGTTCGACCCGCGATCTGGATCCAAAAACCCGAACCGAACCCCGTACCTTCGGTCAGCCCAGAACCCACGTTACCCGCAGCCCAAACACCCGACCTTCAATCACGAGCCGGCCCATCAACCCGCGAGCCGGCCCATCACCGCGCGGCCCGTCACCTACGTTCGGTCCGAGACCCGCGAGCGGCCTGTTAACCCGCGCCTCGACCCGAAATGCCTGCACACATGTCACTCTCGGATTGTGCCACGTGTCACGTCTGCAGCGCGGCTACTCTCGGCTCAGGTGGCTTCATCGGCTCGGTGGTGGCTCGGCGGCTCTGGCGGCTTATTAGGCTCGGGAAACCTGTTTCCAGCCGGTTTGACATCGTTCCGACCCTCCCAGACCTAGTTTCGGCCCTGTTTAAGGTAAAAGGGAACATTTTAAGGTCGTATTTCAAAAATTCCAGTTGGGAATTTATTCTTATTTGTGAAATACTAACGAAAGTGACTCATGAACCAATAGGAACCAACCACCAACTGAAGTGTAGAACGTCCACGAGGAGCTAGGAGCTTATGTTATATTCTAGGGAGTACTTCGGCTAGGGCCTACCAAGTAAGTGGCTCACCCGTTGTAGGTTACGCGTTAATTGCTGTATGTTGGCACGTGTCCGTGGTTATGCACGTGCCATTAAATTGTATGCTAGCTTAATGTGCTTAAGTACGAAATCATGTGAACGTGAATGTATGTTGTTTATGCTGCTTAGTTGATGTGATATGAATGCATGTGACGATGTGTGACCCTTGTATGATTATGGCTTGTTGTATGAGTATTGAAATGTAACTGAATGAATTGAATGACATGAAATACGTTGAATTGCATGATACATAACCCCGCTAGGAATATATATGATATGTAACAAAATGAGAATGAGAATGACATGTAAGCATGAAAACGTGACACGGGGTTATGTTCATTAAATGATGACTGTAGGACTAGTGGGACCTCATGCATATTGTCTGATCATGCATTTGGGGGGATACCCCTATCCCATCACGAGGGTACGGACGCGTACATCCAAATGGCAGGACCACGATCGTTATGTCCTGCATAGCGCTGCCGTGACGGTTTTAGTTTTAACGGGTCCCGGTGGGCCCCCAGAGCATGCCCATCGGCTAGGGACAGTGGCCCAGCGGTGTGCGAACTAGCTGGTGAGCCCATACTCGCACATATGGGCTGCGTGTAGAGTATATGGTACATGTCCACGATTACCTGTTAGGATTACACCGTAGGGAAAACGAAACGAAACGAAACGAAACGATAGGTCCTATCATTTAATTGCATGTGTTTGTCGCATAACCCCGATAGGGGGTCACTTACTGAGTATTCTAGAAATACTCAAGCCTCGTGCTACTTTACTTTTGCAGATAAGGGCAACGCACCCATGTGACAACGACGACGGCATCGTACCCCCCAGGATCGTGGCACATGCATAGGGTAGTTGGTTGTTCTTTTCCCATTTCGTAGTCTAGGTCGAATTTGGTTGCATCATTAATATAGGTTAGTATAGGATGAAATGTATTTGCATAATAAACCTTAGGGTAGAATAAAATATGCAGTTTTGGTTTCTGTTTCTTTTCCTTTCTTTCAATTTTCTCTTTTTCCCTTGTAACCATATTTCTCTAAGGTAATAAAAGGCGAGTGCGAGTCGCGTTAATGAACAGGGCCGATTAAATGTATATCCGCATTTCAAAGTATAGTAATGACCATAGATTAGATAGGTAAAATGTTAGGGTCGTTACAACATTTTTCAGGTTAAGGCAACGTATTCCTGTACGGCTGACGACGACATCACAACTCGAGACCATGACACATGCATAGAATAGTGGTATTTATTTTCTTAGACTCAGGCTAGAATAGAATGTTTTAAACTTAAACGCTTATTTATTTTATTTCGGGTCTTTTGTTGTGTCGTTTTAAAGATGTTTTCAAAACACGTAAGTCCATGGGTGTGTTTTAAGATAAAGGTTATGTTTTATGAAATTTAAATGAAGTCTTCAACATTCAATGTTATGGTATGTACAAAGTAGCGATCTTAAATTAAGTAGAAAATTTCGGGTCGTTACAATTGTGACGGAAAAAGAAAATGTAATGTTTAAAGTAAATGAGATTATGCAAATAATCACCGAGGTATTTAATGTACCAAACTTGAAAGACAACTTGTTGAGCATCGGACAGCTGCCAAAAAAAAATGTCTTGCAATTCTTATACAAAAAGGAGGATGAAGCCTGACATAGGGCCAACTGCAGAGACTTGAATGACATGAAATATTATGTTTGCTCTATTTGTTTAATCTCTACCAAATGAACAATCCTGATTCAATGCTATTACAGAAGATCCCACAAGAACATGACATTGTCGATATGAGCATCTAAGTTATGTTGGACTAAAGTCACTTCAAGAGTATGGTTGAAAAAGAAACTGGTATATACATGAAGGGCCGATAACTTATCAAGGTGGTGAATTCATATCCAAAGAAGTCATTAGCTTTGGTAATGAAAATTGTATTCAAAGGCAACCAAGAGCGGCTTATACTCCTCAACAAAACGGCGTGGCAGAAAGGAAAAACATGACAATTATGAATATGGTTAGATGCATGCTGACAGAGAAAAAGATACAAAAAGCTTTCTAGGCGGAAGCAGCAAACTGGACGATTCATATTCTCAATAGAAGTCCCACTCTAACCGTGAAGCATATGACTCCGAAAGTAGCTTGGAGAGAACATAAACCATTAGTTTCACATTTTAGAATTTTTGGATGTACTGTGTATGTTCATGTCCCAGACAAAAAAAAAGAACAAAGCTTGAGGATTAAAGTTTGAAGTGTGTATTACTCGGAGTTAGTGAGGAGTCACAGGCGTACAAACTTTATGATCCAGTCTTACAGAAACTAGTAGAGATGTAAAGTTTGAGGAAAAGAATGGTTGAGATTGGCATAAAACCCATCAAGAAAAAGTTGCAGTTGATCTTGAATTAAGTAATGATACCTGCAATGAAGTTGAAAGCTCGGAGGATGAAGTATAAATGATGATTCATGTGAGTAAGCACAAGAACACTCATCTGCTGTAGTGTTCGCGCTGAAAATCTGGCGACATTACCTGTATGCCGAGAAAACCCAAATTTTACGGACCACAAAAGTTTGAAATACTTCTTCACCCAGAAAGAGTTAAACATGAGGCAGAGAAGGTGGTTAGAATTGGTGAAGGATTATGACGTAGATATCCAGTACCACCCTGGAAAAGCAAATGTGGTTGTAGATGCCTTGAGTAGGAAGACGGTCCACTCATCGGCCCTCATTACGAGGGAAGTAAGGGTACAAAGAGAGTTCGAGCGAGCCAACATAGCTGTAGCGACCAAGGGAGTCATAGCACAGCTGGCCCGACTCACTGTACAACCTACGCTTAGGCAAAGAATTATTGCCTCCCAACGAGAGGATCCTAACCTACAGAAAGTCCTAGGACAGCTAGACAAAAGTCCAGTAGATGGATTCTCGAAGTCATCAGATGAAGGACTATTGTATCAGGGACGCTTATGTGTTCCAGCAATAGAAGATTTAAGGAAGGAAATACTGATGGAAGCTCACAACTCACCATTTGCGATGCATCCAGGAGGTACTAAGATGTACCAAGATTTAAAACAACACTTTTGGTGGAAGAGCATGAAGAGGGATGTGGCCGGGTTTGTGAGCAAGTGCTTAGTTTGTCAAGAAGTGAAAGCTCCAAGACAAAAGACGGCGGGGTTGTTGCAGCCCCTAAGCATACCGGAGTGGAAGTGGGAAAACATAGTGATGGACTTCATAGTAGGTTTACCCAAAACGCCCAAGGGCTATACAGTGATTTGGGTAGTTGTCGATAGGTTGACCAAGTCGGCACACTTTCTACCTGGGAAGGTTACATATACAGTTGACAATTGGGCACAACTGTACGTGAAAGAAATAGTAAGACTACATGGAGTCCTAGTGTCTATAGTGTCGGATCGGGATCCACGCTTTACGTTAGCGTTTTGGCGCGGACTTCAAAAAGCACTAGGTACCCGCCTCGACTTTAGTACCGCCTTTCACCCCCAAGCAGATGGACAAACAGAGCGTTTAAACCAAATTCTAGAGGACATGCTACGCGCTTGCGTACTAGATTTTAAGGAAAGTTGGGATTCCAAACTACACCTAATGGAATTCTCGTATAACAACAGTTTCCAAGCAACTATTGGAATGGCACCGTTTGAGGCCCTGTACGGGAAACGGTGTAGGTCCCCACTGTGTTGGGACGAGGTAGGAGAGAAAGAATTAGTAGGACCCGAGTTGGTTCGACTCACCAATGAGGCTGTCCAGATAATTCGAGCGAGGATGCGTACCGATCAAAGTAGACAGAAAAGCTACGCCGATGTAAGGCGTAAAAGCCTGGAGTTTGAGGTGGGGGACCCAATATTCCTCAAGGTGGCACCTATGAAAGGTGTGTTAAGATTCGGACATAAGGGCAAGTTAAGTCCTAAATTCATTGGACCATTCGAGATCCTAGAGCGAGTTGGTCCGGTAGCGTATAAGTTAGCCTTACCTCCAGCCCTCTCAGGAGTACATGATGTACTTCATGTGTCGATGCTGAGGAAGTACATTATGGATCCTATCCACGTAATAGACTACGAACCACTCCAACTCAATGAAGATCTGAGCTACGAGGAAAAACCAGTAAGAATCTTAGCTAGAGAGGTAAAAACCTTACGCAACAGGAGTATTGCGTTCGTTAAGGTACTGTGGCGGAATCACCACAGTGAGGAAGCCATGTGGGAGCGTGAGGACGAGATAAGAGAGAAATACCCCGAGTTGGTACAAGAGTTTGAGACTTTCGAGGACGAAAGTTCTTTTTAGGGGTAGATAATGTAACGACCCGGGAAAGAAAGAAAAAAAATATATATATATATATATAATAAATAAATGAAAACGAAAAAAAAAAAAAAAACCCAGTCGCCGGAAAACCCGCGAGTTTTCCGGCGACCGCCGAGTTTCGCGGAACCCACGCGAAACGACAGCCACAGCACGCCCACCCTCAGCCCAGCATCTTCAGAACACCTGCAAAGGGAGAAAAGAGAGAAAATTTCGAGAGAGGGAGAGAGATTTCGGACAAACGTCGGCGAGTGTCCAGTTTCTCCGACGAGCCCTCAAACCACCCTTAAATCGACACCAAATGACCTGTTACTACCGTAAGAGAGATCCCTAACGAAAGCACAATAACTCAGGGTGCGTTTTGTGTTATTTCGTAAGCGTCGTCGCCGGTAACCGAGGTCGGAAAGTCGGGTAAGGAAGACGAGATCCACGGATCCGGGTCAACCCGAACCCAGAACCTGGGAGAGCCAGCCCGTTCCTCCCTTGGCCTATGCCTTCGACCCAGCCCAACTACAGCGGCCCAAACCTCAAACCGGCTCAGAAGCTACAGTTCAGTTGAACCAACCTAGACTACACCCACGGTCCAATTGAGCCGGCCTGCAAACCAAACACTTGCGGCCCAGCCCAGAAAGCCGAGGCCCAACGTTTAGCCTTGGCCCAGTAGCCTTCCACAGCCCACGACCCGAACCACGACCCGAACCAGACTGCGACCCGCGCTTCGACCCGACACTACCGCCCGACGTGGCTTTCTCTGCTGCTGCCACGTGTCACACAGCGGCGCGGCAGTCCTCGGCTCGGCTCGGNCAGACTGCGACCCGCGCTTCGACCCGACACTACCGCCCGACGGCTGCTGCCACGTGTCACACAGCGGGGCGGCAGTCCTCGGCTCGGCTCGGCGCAAACGGCTCGGGCTCCCTCCGGTGACGCTCCGGCGGCTCCTCCGGTGGCTCCAGCGGCTGTTCGGCTCGGCTCACCTGTTTTCAGCCCGGTTTCCACTGTTTCGACCCTTTCGGATCTATTTTCGGCCCTGATTAAGGTATCCGAGGCCGTTTTAGAGCCGTATTTCACATTTATTAAATTATAGGTAAATTAATTGTGAAATACTAACAGAAAGTGGTGAACGGTGTGATAGGAAACAAACCCCAGCGAAGTAGGAAGCAGCTCTCACGGAACGGGAGCTTACGTTTAGCTATTTAGGGAGTACTTCGGCCGAGGCCAACCAAGTAAGTGGCCTTACTATAGGATAGGCTAAATAAATTGTATGATGCTTGATGATATGTGCCAGTTTATACATATTTTGTTGAGTGACGCTTAATATGTTTGACGCACGTTGTGGCATTATGATGAGCATGATGATTGCATGATTTTTACCTTAATATGATGATGTTTTCCATATTGAGCATGCTAGATGATGATGAGTGCCATATTGCATCATGTCGTTAGATTGACGTAGGACACAACCCTAAGAGCATGAAAATGATATTAATATAAATATCCACGATATGCGTTACCTAGAGTAACAAAGAGATGAGACTAGAGGGTTGTGTCAGAAGAGACATTACGATGGATTTAGAGGGACCTCATGCATTTTGTATGTTCATAAGCATAGGGCTACTTCCCCTAGAGATGATGAATGCGGACGCGCACCTTATGATAAGCGCGAATGCGCACAGATGCGAAAGCACACAGATGAGGGTGTTCATGAGGCGCATGACACTATGGGGTTCCGCTGACCTCCGGACGTCGTTACAGATTAGCTTGACCAGAGGGTTCAGGGGGTGTGCGAGTGCCCTGGGGACTCACACTCGCACGTGTGAGTCGTGTGTAGGGAAGTACTACACATCCAATTTATCCGAGACTGGAGGCCACCCCTAAGATGATTGGAGATAGGTCCCTATTCATGATTGCATGTGTTTGCACTAGCATGGCCCCTATAGTGGGGTCACTTACTAAGTATTTCTTCGCCGTGTGACATATTCTTTTTCAGGTAAAGGCAAGGCGCCCATGTACGGTTGACGGCGACGTCGTTATCAGAGATTGTGGCGCGTGCATAGGATAGTTGCATATTTAAAACTCCTAGTCTTGACTAGGATAGGGTGTTTGCATTTCATTTGTTTAAATTATTTAATTTGTAATTGTTTTATCTTATTTTGAACTCCGACATGATGGTTGAAACACGCAAGTCCGACAGTGTTTTCTAATGTTTTAACGTATTCTGAAGTTTTAAATTTTTTCGCTAATAAAGATGAGCATTCTTAGAGTTATATTCTGCATTAGAGATGAGCATGAGACGTTAGTGGCGACTCTAGATACGTAGAAATTCAGGGTCGTTACATGCAATGATCATCATTTCCATATAATATACATTACTTTAAAGTAATAAGGAGAGTTATTCCAAAGTGTCCAAACATATAGTTAATTATTCATTGGTTGATGAGGATTATTAATATTACCCTAAATAATAATATGAATTGATTAATTACACTAACATGTGTTGGATCGAATTTTCTTCTATTTTTTTTGTGTTAAAATGATATGTGTTGGACAAAATAATACACTAAATAATACTATGTATTTTTGGATCTTAACTCAATTATTCGGATTATAAAATTTTCAATCCAAACAATTTTTCTTAAATAATGAACTCAAACATCAAATTTTATGGTTGGGTTAGAATCTCGTGTTTATTCACTAAAATTTAATTCATAAAGAAAACTATTTATTTATTTTCAAATATTTAATTAAGTTTTACAACTTAGTTTCAATATATATGGTTAAAAATAATTAGGAGGGTTGAAAAATAAACAATAAAAAAAATAATTACAAATTAAATATATATATATTTTAAATTAATCACAAATTCTGGCTAAATCTAGTAATATCTTCATTTATTTTTGGAATATTTAGTATTGTAATATTAGAAAAAAAAAAACAAAAAAAAGTGAAGTTCTAAATTTTAAAACGGTTGAGTTCCCAATTTGTGGAGAGATCCCGTGAAAGAAACAAATATGAGATGAGTGTAAACCGTTCTTTTTTTTATTTTCTAAAAATTATTAAATGATTAAGAAATGGTATTTAAAAAAATAGTTGTGTTGTTTAGTTAGTCTAATCAATATGATAATGCATAGTTCAATGGAAGAACGAAGAATGAATAAGGAATCAGGAAGCTTTGAACATGATTGCATCAATTTATGCAACTAACGAAGCTTGTGATCCTATAAATTTGAACTTGCGAGTTGAGATAAAAATTATAAAAAGGAAGAAGGAAGAAAGAAGCTTGGATGAGTAAACATGTTGTGCAATTTAGTAGAATTGGAGTCGCTTATTACATTCAGATAGCAACAACTGTGGTGAATTACAAACCCATTAAAGCGTGGACTCAGCACATTGCTTCGAACAAGTGCATTTATCACCCGAGCAAAATCCGCCATCCCACTTCTCAAAAGAAATGCAAAGTTCAGCACATGTTTCTTCAATGCACGGTCCTATAAACGCATCGCTGTGTTTATAGCATGTCCGCCCCTCCGTCTGAGCCACCATCCATCCTGCAACAGTAACACGAACTTATTCATACAAACAAAAACCTACTTTTCAATACTATCTGTCAATCTAAATCAATATGGAGAAGCAGGAAGGATCAAGTACCAGAAGTAAGGGCTAGGAAGATGAACACCACAATTTTGAGATTTCTCAAGCTTTGTCCCGCCATTCTTTTCTTCTCTTATTCCTTGCTACAATGGAATGCTTGGGTATCCGTTCCCCATTTTATATCCGTGAAACGCCTCATCTTTGTAACGTCTTCTTTATTTCCTTGCGATTTCAAGGAAAGAATAATCACGTTTTGTAACGTCTATGCTGGCCGTTCTTGATTTAAAAGGAAGTTGTTTTATTTTATTCTTGTCTAGTCATGCGGTTAACATTGATTGATGGACGTAAATTATACTATTATTAAAAGTAACCTATTTCTTAAATACAAATTTAAAGCATGAGCCCAACCTTATTTGTATTAATTATCTTTCATAATCCGTAAAGGTAGGAATTTAGGTGTACTATTGCTATACCTCTTTTCCTATGCGAAAAATTTAAGATGATAACCGCAACGATTAGCATGTAGTATAGCCCGGTTTATAAAATCTTCAACTTGAAAGCTTAAGTTTTCTAGCGTTTAATTATGGTTTTTGTGATGGTTAAAGATTACCGTTTAATTGGTGGGTGTGAAATTCAGTTGTTGATATCTTCGGTGCATTGAAATCATAAAGATTGCAGATATCAAAAATAGTTTTGATGATTTGGATTTAGAACATGGCCTGTTTCCTTGTCGTATTAATTTATAATAACCTTCTTTCCACATTTTTATTTTTTAATATTTTAGTCTCAATTATACAAATATCTAAATATTTAAATTAGTTTTTTTATTATGTCAATTATTTTTTAACTGTATTAAAAAAAATTTGACGACATGAAAAATCTAACATTAGTATGTTTGGATTGGATTATAAAATTATTCGAATTGGGTTGAGTTAAAATAAATCATAAATTGAATTGATTTATGAATATTAGTCGAACTAAACCAATCTAAATTTATTTTTAGTTTTAAAATATACATTTTTGCTTAAAATATAAAAATATACTAGTGACGGTTACTAGTTCTAGCGGG